TATCCCTCTAAGCTGAAGGCACCCCCTTCTCTAGATCTCCAGTTGTGTGTATCACTTTCTGTCCTGTATTGTTGTTTTCCCATATCAGCCCAACCAGCTTCTGAGTACCTTGATGGCGAGATGCATCTTATTCTTTAATCACCCACAGTACCAAGCAGAGTGGTTGGCACACAGTAGGTGTTCAGAAAATAAGTGGCAAATAGATGACGGAATACACCCCTTAGGGTTCCACATGCGGCTGCTTCTGTCCTCCAGAGGTGGGGCAGGCCTGGCGGTCGACGCAGAGCCACACCCTATCCCTGTCCAGATTGTTATTAGGATTATGCTGGGCTCTCACAATGAGCCGGAAAGTTCCTATGTTTTCTGTGCTCTGGAGCAATTTGTAGATTACAAGAATAGCTTTGTGCCATTTGGGGGGTAGATTTTGTCTCTTCAATTTCATCTAATTATTGACCTATTCAGGTTTTGTATATTTCCTTTAGCCAATTTTGTTCATTTATATTTTCTTAAATCATCCATTTCATCAAGAATTGAAATTTTATTGCTATAAAACTTTATATAGTTTTCTCTCATAATTAAATATATATCTATATCCATAGTCATAGGACTTTTCTCATTCCCAATGCTTATTTGTCTCTTTTTTCCCTCTGATAAGAATTACTAAGGTTTTTTTTTTTTTAAGGTGAAGTTTTTTTCTTTTTTTTGAGGAATATTGGCCCTGAGCTAACATCTGTTGCCAATCTTCCTCCTTTTTTCCTTTTTTCTCCCCAAAGCCCCGGTAGATAGTTGCATGTCCTAGTTGTACATCCTTCTAGTTGCTGTATGTGGGACGCCGCCTCAGCATGGCTTGATGAGTGGTGAGTAGGTCTGTGCCCAGGATCTGAACTGGCAAACCCCGGGTTGCCGAAGTGGAGCGTGCGAACTTAACTGCTACGCCACTGGGCTGGCCCCAGGTTTCTTTTTTTCAATTGGTGCTTTCAAAGAATCAGCTTTTGATTTTTTTAGATATCAACTACTTTTTCTGTCCTCCCATTTTCTTAATTTCTGCTTTTATTGGTGATTTCTTCTTTCTTTGGTTTTCTTTTTCTAGCCTCTTGATTTAAATGCTTAGTTAATTTTCAGTCTTTCTTGTTTTCTGAAGTGCATTTAAAGCTGTAATTTTTCTCTGAGTACCATTTTGGCCTCAAACCCAAGGTTTATTTCTGTTCGTTGTTGTTCAATTCTTAATCATTTGCAATTTCTGCTTTGCTTTTCTCTTGAACTGGAGAGTTATAGAGCAGTATAGCTTTTTAAATTTTCAAGTGGATGGTTTCTTTTATACTCATGTTTCTGTCAGTTTCTGATCTTGTTGCATTATAGGCAAAACATGGCCCATGTGATTCTGCTTTCTGGAATTTGTCAAAATTTTTATTTATGGCCTAATATATGGCCAATTTTTGTGACTATTTCATGTATTTGAAAATGCTTATTTACTGTTTGAGTGTAAAGTTTGTTCTCTCCGTCTCTCAGATTAAGTTTTTAACTTGTATTATTTAATGAAGATCATTACTTTTGAAGGGGCACTTGTTCTATCTCTAAGAGAGGCCTGTTCAGTTCTCCCATGTATGAGATTTGTCAATTCCTACTGTTTTTAGAAAGCAGTTTTTTATACATATTTTTTTTCTTCTTCTTCTTTTTTTTTGGTGAGGAAGATTGGCCCTGAGCTAACATCTGTTGCCAATCTTCCTCTTTTTGCTGAGGAAGATTAGCCCTGAGCTAACATCCGTGCCCATCTTCCTC